TGTATTTTTAGTAGGGACGGAGTTTCATCATGTTGGTCAGGCTGGTCTTAAACTCTTGGTCTCAAGTGAACCTCTTGCCTCAGCCTCCCAAAGTGCTGGGATTACAGGCGTGAGTTACTGCACACAGCCCATGCTGATACTGACATCTTGCTAACTGAGGATGCTAATAGGATAATTGGTGAACAAGAAAAAAGAACTGAGAAGAAGCATCTAGTAACAAAAGTTCATACACATAGAGGGGAAACAAAACAGGAAAAGTCTGAAGCCTATGCTGTCTGGTCAATTCCCTGTGCTGAAGGATGCTGATACCCTGCAGAGGAATGACCTATTGCTGTAGTAATTCTGAACAAATATTATTCATCTCTTTAAAAGACTTTGCTTCAATTACTGTCATTTGAAGCAGTATATTATTTAATACCTATTCCAATTCACCTGATTGAACGTTCTATTTTCTTATGATGACAAATTTCAAACATGCAGAAAAGTAGAAATAATAGTACCCTACCATCTAGATTCAGCAATTTTCACCTGTCTTGAGATAGTCTTATTTCATTAAAATCTAGAACAGCAAGAGTTTTATATATTTGTCAGCAGTGAATAGTAACCACTCCCCAAAACATAGTAGCACATTAATAAATATTTTTTAAATGAGAAGGCACTAATATCTGCAGCTTCACATAGTTCTGGCAATAAATAAAAGATATTCTAGGCTGGGCACTGTGGCTCACACCTGTGATCCTGGCACTTTGCGAGGTCAAGGTGGGAGGATTGCTTGAGGCCAGGATTTCAAGACCAGTCTGGGCAACATAGTGAAACCCTGTCTCTACAAAACATGTAAAAATTATCTGCGTATGGTGGCATTGCACCTCTAGTCCCAGCTACTCAGGGGGCTGAGGTGGGAGGATCACTTGAGACGGGGAAATTGAGGCTTCAGTGAGTCGTCATCGTGCCACTGCACTTCAGCCTGGACAACAAAGCAAGACCCTGAGAGAGATTCTGAATACATAAAAGAGATACAGTCTCCACTATTTCATTAAATATTTATTGAGAGCCTATGTTGGGGAGGATGTGAAGTAGCAAGAAATGAATAAGATATTGGTCCTGCCCTCCTGAAGCTGACAGTCTATAGAGAGAGACAAATATGTGAATAGTTCCATGTAGTACAATGTGATGGAGAAGTGCAGTGAGGGCCCAGAGGAGGAAACAACCAACTCGCTCTTGTTGATCAGTAGTGCTCTCATAAAGGAGAGTATGTGTGGTTCAGGGCCTCACAGGAGTGAAATTTTGATGGAAAAGAAGATTTCAGACGATAAATAACAGATGCAAAAACTGAGCAATATAAAACAGCACACCACAAGTTTAAAGGAATGGCTAGACTATAGGGCAATAGAATGATTTTCAGGTGGAAAGATTATATTTGATTGGTTGTTAGGAAGAGAATTCTGCCACAATAAGGAGAATGGCTGGGACTACAGGCAGATTAGAGCCTCACCCGTCATCTGTCATGAGAGTAGATCCACTCATTTATTGTGCGTTACATAATACAATGAGCAATCTAATAGTGCCTACCATCACTGAGCTTACAGTCTCATAACGCTCATCAGTCGGCTACAAGTTCACTAACAAATCTCTTATGTCAGTTCCTTCTATTTTTTCCCTTCTTGTTCTGTCAAATTTCTACCTTCTAATAACTGGGAAGCTATTGTATTAGTTACCCCCATGAGAACTTAGTAGTTTCTCCAGACACCAGAAATGGAAAAGAAATGATATCTTATTTTTCTTTGTATCCCCAACAGTTAAAACAGTATCTGAAATATCATATGCTTTCAACAATTCAGTGAATCATTGAGAATTTTTTTTTGAGACAGGGTCTCACTGCATCATCTAGGCTAGAGTGCATAGAGTGTAGTGGCACATCATGATACACTACAGCCTCAACCTCTCAGGCTCAAGTGATCCTCCCACCTCAGCCTCCCAGGTAGCTGGGACCACAGGCACATGCCACTCATTAGGCCTGGCTAATTTTTTTTAAATTTTTATTTTTTTTATAAGAGACGTGTTTTCGCCATGTTGCTCAGGCTGGTCTCCAACTCCTGGGCTCCTGGGCTGAGGCAATCTGCCTTCTTCAGCCTCCCAAAGTGCTGGGATTTACAAGCATGAGCCACAGCACCTGGCCAATCATTGAGATATTTAGGAAGTAAAATGAGCAGGAATGGTGGGCCTTTAGGATATTGTGGATGTGGAAACAATGGAAAGGCAATGATGCTGTTAGGTCTCCTGATTATAAGGGAGTAGGTGGATGGTGATGTCATCAGCTGAGGTAGTAAATAACAGGATGCATGAGATTGGGGGAGAGGAGAGAGAATGTTCATTTCTGACATGTTGACATGAAGTTGTCTGTTATGCATTTAACGTGCTTCCTAATCTTTATACAAAATCTAGTTGAATCAGAGGGGCTTGAACACAACCAATTGTCTAGCATCATTAGTCAAAATTTACGTTGGGAAACATCTTTCTTTAGAGCTTCCTTCCTTAGATAAAAGCTTAAAACTTACCCCTTTTAGGATTTATTTCAAGTTGATTCATGTTGCATTAAATGAAGAGCAATAACTGATCATTTGTGCCAAGTGTATTGGTCAGAGAATTAAAAAGGACATTTGATAGAACTAATGGCAGTAGTGTAGAGATACCCAAAAAATAAAAACTAAAAATAATGGACCAGAAGTAAAATAGACATCATAAAAAGAATTTTAAAGTTATTTTATTTTTGGATAATACAGGGAGTTTTCTTTTTTGTTGTTTTTGGTGTTTGGGTTTTGTTATTTTGTTTTTGTATTTTGGCTATGAGCCAAGTGACTACTTTTGTCTACGATTACATTTTAAACTTTAAAGAGTTGCATGTAGTCTTATTTGATGGTCTAAGTTGGTTCCTACAATAATGCAGGTTTTCATATGGGGATTGTATAGCTAATATGTTATTAATAAAATAACCATTTAAATACATTTGATTTCCCTGCTATTTACAAGTTCATTTACTTCTTCATTAGGTTCTGTGATAAACAATTTTAAATTCCTATTTTCACAGAGTAGAAATAAGTATGTATACCACTGTTTTCTTTTTATAGCTGTTTTCCTTTAATCCTTTTGTGCAGAAACATAAATGTTTTATAAGATGTTATTGCTATAATAATTCTAAGTTTGTCAAATTCCAACTTATGTAGAAGACTTAATTATACATTATGCTACACTTGGACCAGAATTATAAAATGTATGTATTACAGTATTTTCACAACCGCTATACATTTTAAGAAAAAAATATATCATTTAAAATATTTTCTTTACCATGTAGTCTTCAGTGAGCAGAGAGAAGGGGTTTTCTGAAGTGAGATTAGACAATAGAGCGAACTTCATTTTTTATGCACGTGAACGGAGAGGGCTTGAGGTTATTAGTTGAAACCGAGTAACCTTTCCAGGCTTTCATCTCTTTCTTTTCAAATTTGAATATGAAAAGCATATTCAAGTCAAAGACCATCACTTTAATGACATTTGGCAGTCATTTGATTTATTAGGTTTTAGAAAAAATTTTCCTTTAAATATTTCATCATACTATGCTAATCCTAGTAATATTGCCAGCTGCAGCCTTGTACCTGTATTAGTGGAGACAGAATGGTGTGGAATTTTCTCTGTCATCCTAGTAAAATTTCCATGAATCTACTGAATAATAAAATAACCTTATTGAAATATTCAGATTTGGGTTTTTAGTTAAAGTGTCTTAGAATACATAATAAAAGAAAATGTCTTTTGAAAGAAGGGGGTAAAATTACTTCATCAAATATTGAGGGGGTTTGACAGCAATGGAAATTGTTCTTTATGGGAATATTTTTACAATAGGGTACTTATGCTTTTCAATTTGATTAATTATATTATATGCTTTGAAATATCTAAGTAACCACTATGGTGAATTTACACACTGATTTACATTTAACAATGAATTCCTAAAAACTGGTCATATAAACAGGACTTATTTTCAGGTTTTTCTAATTATTATTTGAAGTTATATAATTTATAGCATGTCTCTGAATTTTGGCAAAGAAGGATTTTGATACTAAAGGACAAACTTTAAATTGTAAGAAACAGATTAACTGAGGTGTTATCTTGGTGTGATACAGTTTTTAAATCCTAGTCTATTAATTATTTGAAATCATTACTCAAGGAAACATTTGTAATTCCCTTGATAATGTCTATGACACCAAAATCTATTAAGCAAAGATTGAAGTGAAAATTAAACACCATTTTAGTTGTTAATTCTGTATAAATAAATTAAAAATAAATTATGAGAAAATATGTGTTAAATTGGACATAAAATTCTGTTTCTTTTGCTTGAAAATGTATTATTTATTGAACAAAATATATTATGGCAGAATAGGAGAGAATGAACTGTAGTTTCTGCTCTAGTTACACTGATTCATATAGCTACATATATTAGCATAATACCTATGAGGTATTCAACAGGCTTTGATCTCTGAATAACTGAAACTTTCTCAGGTATTGTAGATTAAGTAAAAGCAGTGATAAACATGTACTTCATTACATAGTTTGAAACAAGGCCAACTGATACTTGTCATTCTGAAAGCAATTGGAGATGAAGATCTCATAATCTTCACTCCTGATAGACTACTAGTGGGGTATTTATAGCCTCAAATGTAAATCAGGAGACTATTGCCATGACACTGTTAACTTCAAACCCTGGGGCATTAGAATCTCATTCTCTCTCTCTCTGTCGTGAATAGTCTATCATGTGTAACATATAGTAGTGTACATTGCATTCAAGAAAAGAAGCCCATTGGCCTTTGTGTTTTATTTAAAATTGATAGTGGAAAATAATAGTGGATCTTTTTGTTCTATTATTTTATTTTTTGTTGGGGTTTTTTTTTTTTTTTTTTTTTTTTTTTTTTTTNTTTTTTTTTTTTTTTTTTTTTTCGTCTTTGCTCTTTAAACAGCCTTCAGAAAAAATTCGGATTGAGATCATAGCTCTAAGCCTTAATGATTCTCAAGTAACCATGGATGACACTATTCAACGGCTGTTCATTGAGTGCCGATTCTACAGTCTTCCTGCCGAAGAGACACCCGTGTCACTTCCAAAACCCAAGAGTGGGCAGTGGGTTTACTATAACTATAGCAATGGTATGTATGATTTATTTGTAATATAGACTTTTATGTTTGTCTTTTTTATTTATGAAAGAACTGGAAAGAAAAGAGAAAGTTTATTTCTCTAATGTTCACATAAACTCATGGAAGTCTTGTCAGAATTGATTAATAAAAGTCAAACCAGTAACATAAAGGTTAAGAAAATAAAGTTGGGCTAGGCACAGTGGCTCACACCTGTAATCCTAGCACTTTGGGAGACCAAGGCAGATGGATCGCTTGAGCTCTGGAGTTCCAGACCAGCCTGGGCTACATGGTGAAACCTCGTCTCTACAAAAAAAAAATATATATATATACAAAAATTAGCCGGGCAAGGTGTTGCATGCCTGTAGTCCCAGCTACTCAGGAGGCTGAGGCAGGAGGATTGCTTGAGCCTGGGAGGGTGAGCCTGCAGTGAGCTATAATCTTGCCACTGCACTCTTATTTGAGTGACGAAGTGAGACCCTGTCTCAAAAAAAAAAAGTTGAAGAAATACCAAAGTTAAGAGAAAACAAAACGTGAAAAAATATTTCTAAGATGGTTCTGGTATATAATAGTTCCATAGAAAAATGTCAGCTAGATCTATAGTTAGGAATTTAACTAAAAATATGATATTTCAAAGAAATATCTTTCAAACAAGTAGTTTTTTAATCATATGTTTCAAAGCTTTCAATGGCCTATTTTTTTGACTACCTTTCTGATCAATGTCATCACATGGATGTTTTTACAATACATGTATATATCTCTCTTAGTGTCTAGATGTTCAGGATTTTAATTGAGTGAAGCATAAGTTCTTACTGTGCCTTTCATCATATAGCACACACACCCATTCATAGCAGCAGGCAGATTTTCTCTCTTAGGGCTTGATCTAGCACCCAGTTAACATGTAAATTTACTGGACCAGCACAGACCCAATAGACACCCTATAAATTCTTCGATAAATCAACTTTATTTTGAGATTGTTAGTATATAATTGGAGAGGAATAAAAAGAATATCAGGCTACCATGACCCTAAGTTAAAACAGCTTAGCAAGTTCTCCTAAAGCGCTACATAAAACAAACCATGAAAATGGAGTGTTGTGTCATCTTTAGCAAAATAGACCATCTCATGCTAGTTCATCACTACTATTTTTTTCTCACTAATCTTACAAATTGCATTTTAATCAACGTGTATAATCATGCTGTTGTATCAGCAGGATTACAAATCCTCATAGTTACCTTTTTTTTTTTCATCTGGCATTTTAAAAAATATCTTCATTCCTCAACACTGTAATCTTCCGTATCCAGAGACCTGGCCTAGAGATCTAGCCCTCCCTTTATCCAGTTTTTACTATTATGTGAACTAAGGCAAGATGTTTAAATTCCATGATTCCTTGTTTTCTTATTTGGAAAGTAAGGTGCTTTCTAAGATCTACTCCAGCCCAACTTCTGCAATAACAGGTGTGTTAAGCAATCACATGGGAAATAAGTAGCGTGGTCATGACAAGAATCTGATTCCTCTTTCATTTCATGCACTTGATATAAAGAAAACATTTCCAAAAGTATTTTCTCAGGCTTCCTGGAGATCCTCAGTTGCAGAAAACCAGAAAAGAAAACCATATCAAAATATTATTAATAATGAAATAGCTGTTCAGGCAACTAATTTTAATAAAGATACAGCAAGAAAAGTACAAATTATTTGGCTTTTGCATTATTCTTTGTAAAGATGAGCAATAGAATATTTGGTTGGACTGGCAACAAAATTGTTTTTTAGAGATTAATTGTACATTGAGAAACTTGGCCATGTAAAAGAACAGATGTTTCCATTTGCTTAAAGAGCAGTGCAAATCTTTCTTTAGATCAAACTGTGATATATGCACAAATGGCCCAAATTTGTACATTCTCACATGGTTACCTCTAGGTCTGTTTAGGGTTTTTTTGTTAGTTGGGCCTGTGTGTGTGTGTGTGTGTGTGTGTGTGTGTGTGTGTGTGTGTGTATGTGTGTGTGACAGGATCTGTGTTGCCCAGGCTGCAGTGTAGTGGCACGATCTTGGCTCACTGCAACCTCCACCTTCTGGGTTTAAGCGATCCTCTCATGGCAGCCTACCAAGTAGCTGGGATTACAGGGGTGCACAACCACACCCAGCCAATTTTTATATTTTTGATAGAGACGGGATTTGCCATGTTGCCAAGGCTGGTCTCGAACTTCTGACCTCAAGTGTTCCGCCTGCCTCAGACTCTCAAAGTACTGGTATTACAAGTGTGAGCAACCATGCCCAGCCTGGTTATGCATTTTGGTTTGTTTTTTCCCTTTACTGCAGGATATTTTATTGTTTAATTGGTATTTTAAGAGTTGCCTATGTTTCTAGTGAATATATATATATATATATATATATATACCAAAAGAAGATATATATCTCTATATATAGATTCCTAAGAAGATATATATCTTCTTAGGAATACCAACACTGAAAAACTAAAATTGAATTTACTTGCTAGACAGTGGTAGCAAGAACAAAACATTTGTATTTTATTGAGCCTGAAAAGTTTACTCAGAGAATGCTGAGAAAGCAAGAAAATAGTTTAGGAAAAAATAAGATTAATGTTATGTCTGAAGAATGTTGTCTGGGCCGAATAAAGCCTACAAGGGAATTGACAGTTGGAAGAAAAAGATTAATGAAATAATCCAAAGTTTTTATGAGACTTATATAGGTCTGGACCCTTAGCCTCTGGGGATGGAACAGTCTGTCTTTTGGAACAATTAAAGTTTAATTCAAACTTTTGATGAAGACAATGTAAAACATCAGATTTTATGACTAATAGGAGGAGAAATTTGGCAAAGATAAGGATTACAGGGATGATAACTCTTTAATACAAACATATCTGAGATTCAAGGTTATCGACTCCTTATAATTAAGCCATCTGCATTTCTTCTGCCATATGATATTGATACAGAATATAAGGATTTATCCAACTTTCAGAAGTAAAGGATATGTTTTTAATGGTAGATGACTGAAGATCAACTAAAGTATTTGGACTACGCGTTTGTATCCTTTTGAGACATATGCTTTCAGTAAGTTTATGTCAAAATCATACAAGTCCTAAACAAATGTGATTTCTGAGGGGAAAGAAAGGTAAATACCTTAACTTTTGGAGAGTTATGATACTTTTAATAATTACCAGAGTCACTTTTTATAGGATGTATTTCAAGTTTTGAAATCGTAAGTTTTTTTAACCATCTAGAGTTTTAGAACACCAAATGAATCACGGTAGTCATAGGATATCAAGATATAATCAGAGGCGGCCAAAGTGTTTCTGTTTCCCACAGTATTCAACACAAAAGTGTTCACTAGCTCCTGATCCCATTTAAAAATGTGGCAAATAAATGTTGGGCCAAACAATGGTTCTCAATGTGTAGAACCCTCACCACCAGCAGCAAGAGCAGCTGGAAACACATTAGAATTGCAAATTCTTAGGCCCTAACCCAGACCTGCTGAACCAGAAACTCTGGAAATACAACTCAGTAATCTGCATTTTAACAAGCCCTTTAAGAGGTTGTGATACACAATAAAGGCTGAGAACCATTAGGCTAGATAAGATGCCCAATCTAGGCCTAGTTTGTAGAAGCAGGAGAGCCTTACATAGTTCCAACTTGGTACGCCTTTGGAGAACTAAGCTTATTGGTAAGTAGCTGGAGTATTTTCAAAAAGAAATTTTAAAAGTGTTATGTCAACAGATATGATTTGATACACCTAGACTAGGTATATTTAAGCAATATTCCTTTATGAAACAAGACAAAGTGAAGTGATTTCCCTTGATACTGTTATGGAACATTCTCTTACACTCCAGCTTTGTGCTAACAAAATGACTACAGCTTAAACAGGAAAACTTTGGCCTCATGTGAAAGAAGGAGAGGTCATGTAGCATGGAAATTAAGAGAGCAGACTCTTGAGGCTGACATTGCTGGATTCAAATTCTGGCTCTGCTGCTTTCTGACTAGGTGGTCTTGGGCAAACTCCTAACCTTCTCTGGATCCATGTAATCGTCTGTAAAATGTGGGTCAGCTTGATCCTTAACCTACATGATTACAGTAAAAGTATTGAGTATAGTACCTAGCACGTTAATGTTACCCAGTAAATAGTGGCAATAATGTTTATCTTTGTTAAGAGCATAGGAACTGTAGTATGCTGGCCAACTGGATAAAGCAAAAGCACAGGGAATCCCCAGTGGCATCATTTTTTAAAACCAATTTCAATTGTAAAAATGTTAAAAAAAAAAAAAAAAAAAAGATTAGCCCAGTCATGGCGTCTTAGTCCTGTAATTTCAACACTTTGGGAAGCCAAGAGTATAGGATCACTTGAGGCCAGGAGTTCAAGATTAGCCTAGGCAACATAGTGAGACTCCATCTCTGCAAAAAATAAAAATTAGGTGGGCATGGTTGTGCACACCTGTAGTTCCAGTTACCAGGGTGAGGCTAAGGGCCAAGGTGGGAGAATCGCTTGAGCCTGGGAGTTCAAGGCTGCAGTGAGCTGTCATCGCACCACTGCATTCCAGCCTGAGTAACAGAGCAAGACCCTCATGTCTTAAAAAAAAAAAGGTAAATTTAGAATGACCATACAGTCTAGCAATTTCACTTCTGGTTATATACCGAAAAGAACTGAAATCAAGGACTCAGATATTTGTATGCCCATGTTTAGAGCAGCATTATCCATAATAGTCAAAGGTGGAAACAATCCAAATGTCTGTCACAGGATAAGTGGATAAACAAAGTGTGGTTTATACATATGATGAAATATTATACAGCCTTAAGGAATGAAATTTGAAGTACACTACAACATCTATGAACCTTGAAAACACCAATGCTAAATGAAGTAAACCGGACACAAAAGGACAAATACCATATGATTCCACTTACATGACATACCTCAGGTAGTCAAATTCATACAGACAAAAAGTGAATGGTGGTTACCAGGGGCTGGGAGGAATGAAGAGTGGAGAGTTATTGATTAGTGAATATAGAGTTTCAGCCTGGGAAGATGAAGAAGTTCTGGAAATGGATAGTGGTGATGGTTGTACCACAATGTGTAGGTACTTAATGCCGTTAAACTGAATACTTAAATGTTAATTGTTAATTTAAGATGGTAAATTTTATGTTGTGTATATTCTACCACAATAAAAAAATGTTTTAGGCCATTGAAATTTATCAAAAGTGGTCTAGGTTTAATTGGAAGACCCTTGATTTGCATGCTAGTGTTTAAAACTCAGTGTTTTTTTTTTAAACCACTGATATTACCCTTGTCTTCAAACAGTATAAGCCAGTATGACATAAAAGCTATAGAACCCTGAAGTCCAGAAGAATATGGTATACCACATCTTGTAATTAACAGGAAAAAAAATCCATTTGGAAAAAAAATTCCCCTTTAGCATTGTGTACTGGCAGCCTCTAAAAAATGAAGTACTATCCTCCAGTGATCTGTTAGCATGACTTTTTGGCATTGATAAATAAAACAAAATACTCTGAACCTTTGAATCTGTATTGATTTCTATAAACTTCAGTAACCTATGTAACTAGCCACATTTACTAATATGACATCATGCAAAGAGCAGTAAGCTAGAAGCTGGTGTTTGACTTTGGTTATCCAGAGTTGATTATTAACTTGGTTATTATGTATTCGATGATTCTTCTCTTAAACCACTAACCTACCCCTATACCGATACCTTTATGTCTCTCACTCCATGTGCCTACTCAGTGCCTTTGGCCCTCAGTTAATATTTGCTCAACTGAGCCAAACAAATGAGTTGATAGCATCATAATTTGGAAATTGAACTAAAAATTGTTCAGGGAAACATTTTCAACATAAAAGATGTTTGTTCCTGGCAGAGCCTAAGGAGAACTGGCTTTAGAATGATCATGATATTTTTCACCCTTTGTGTGCTTTTGACCAGGGATAATCTCTAAGTTGAGATTTTGTCACAGGGGAGCCTTTACATCCAAAATGGCATATGAAAAAGAAATGTCTTCAGAAGCTAATGCATGGCTGAAAGTCTGCCGAACTGAGAAAAAATAATCAGGATGAAAATTGTAGTGTTTGCACATTAAGATGCCATTTTCCCAGAGTGTAGGCACTTAATTACAATGTCAAGTGTTCACCATCTTCCTTCTGGTGAGACTTGAGATCAGTTAACTAATCTCATGCTTCAGCCAAGTGAAGTCTGCCCACATTCCTGGATGCCAGCATATGCCTTTAAAACCAAAGACAACCTCACACCCTAAAAAGCCTTTCTCTCCATACACGTTTCTCTCCCATACCCCTACCCAGCAGGCATCGGCCTGTGGATTTCCTCAGCCCAATACACTAGACGCCTTTTTTATTGCTTGTTGTGGCAGGAGAGAAGGATTAAATTACTGAGGCTGTCAGGGAGGACAAGCACTCTGCCATACATTATCATTATCACTTGCTTCTTGGGTGAAAGAAACTGCAGTAAATCCCTCAAATACAAAGCAATAAAGACCATTGGCTTTTACTGTCATGACTGCCAGTGCCATTAACAGGCAGTGACAGTGATGTGGCACTCTTAGATGTTGCTTGTATCTTTTCTGACAGTGTGTGCATAAACCTGCCAGTGACATGACATTAGATCACATGACTATTCAGATTTGATTCTGGTTTCTGGAGCTGTTTTCTTTTCCCAGGCATAGAAGTGAGGTGGCATGACTTGTGTCTTTAAAAACAGATATTTAAAAAAATACAGAATGATACTAATGTAGCCTATTCCTGAGTGACTTCCTTTTTGGATTTTTTTTTCTTTTGCTGTAGTGATCTACGTGGATAAAGAAAACAACCAAGCAAAGAGAGACATCTTAAAAGCTGTACTACAGAAACAAGAGATGCCTAATGGAAGGTATATTTCAGCAGTCCAAATTATCTAATGGTTTACATAAAGTAGATCTCTGTAGCAGGATGTGGTTAAAATAAAAGGCACAAGATGAGGAAGCAGACCATCAGGCTTCCCTGACTCACTCTGTGTCCTCAAATGAGTACGGGACCTCTGTAGATCTTCCTCCTCCTAGAAATATAGTGTCCCTGCCTACTATTCAAAGTAATTGTAAGGATCCTATAGGACTTTGAAAACCAAAGACTGTGCAACATGTATGAAGTATCCTATTGCCACTCGTGTAGTTGTAAAGACTGTAACAGGTTGAAAGGTGGGTATACTCTGGAGCACATGCCCTGGATATAAATTCTTGTCTTACTGCTTACTAGCAATCTGACCTCAGACAAGTTACCTAACCTTCCTGCACCTCTTTTTCTTCAACTTTAAAATGGAAATAATAACACCATAGAGGGGCGGTGTAAGGATTAAATGAGCTGATATATGTAACACAGATAATACAGTTCTGACACATAGTGCACAGTGAGTGTTAATTGCAATCATTGTAAGTAGTGACATTAATTTTTTTTTTTTTTGAGACAGAGTCTCACTCTGTCACCCAGGCTGGGGTGCAGTGGCACAATCTCGGCTTACTCCACCTCCTGGGTTCAAGAGATTCTCCTACCTCAGCCTTCTGTGAGTAGCTGGGATTGCAGATGCGCACGACCATGCCTGGCTAATTTTTGTGTTTTTAGTAGAGACGGGGTTTTACCACGTTAGCCAGGCTGGTCTCGAACTCCTGACCTCAGGTGATCCGCCCACATCGGCCTCCCAAAGTTCTCGGATTACAGGCGTGAGCGCACCTGGCCATGACCAAATATTGTTGTTTGTAATGGTGCATCAGCCTTTCATACTAATTTGTATCTTACTATCACTGTTTAATAAAGCCATCGTTTCATTATTTTTTGAATGCATTTTTTTCTAGTTTAAATAGGATACCTTGAAATTCTGGTTCAGTAGAGAAAATACATGTATATCATTTTCAGAAGAAAAAAAAATCCTGATCTTAAAAAGTTAGTGCATCTGTGTGAGCTTCTGCTGCAGAGTTTGAGGAGTTGCCTCTGTGCTGCTTGTTAACCGTGAGCTGGTTCTCCAGTGCCCCTGGCTGGCTGTCCTCCCTCAGCCTGAGCACACAGTTTACGTCTCCATTGCCCACTTCTCCTCGCCTGACGACCCACTGATGACACAGCCTCTCACTGCCTCAAAAACAGCACTTACTCTGCCGCCTTAGGAGACTCAACTTCTCTCCTTTCCAGAGGGCCATAAAGTGAATGTCAAGGACATATTTTTCAAAAGAGCTTCCAAACTAGCATTTTATCTTCTGTTTGAAGAAAAGAACTGGAATTCTTAGCTCTTGGGATGTGATAATATAGCTTTATTACTAGTCTTTCACTAGCTCCTGAAATACATCACTCCTTTGGATCTCAGTTTTTATTTCTGAAGGAGTGGTAAAACCCTGTTAAGCCTGAGGTTCTCCTTTTTCCAGAATGGTAATCACTCAGCTTTTACTTGCTTCAGCTTCTTTCAGGGCCCTCTTAAAAACCACCAGTCCCCCAGGGTTATCCCAGGTCATGAGTGACAGGGAATAAATGGCACTGGCCACGGCCTCTGCTTCCCTATGCTCAGCAAGCTGCGCCATGGCTGTCCAGGACTGAGCTCAGTTCCCATGGGCACATCCTAGGCTGAGACTCAGTAGCTTGTTCAGTCCTATTTGTCTGCCTCTGGGTTCACTTTGTTTCTGAAATGTGAGATGTTATTGTAACATATTGGGAGACAATAATTTTGTTACCCCCAAAGTGTTTACTTAAAAAATTTCATAGCAAGTTCTGCTTTCGTATTAGGCCTGTCTTTCCTCAGAGGACCCTCTTATTTGTACTAGAATCGTTTAAGAAATTTAAAAAGGCCAGGTGTTTCCGCCTTCAGTTTGTAGGGAAAAAAAGAAAAAGAAAAGAAAAGAATAAATAAATAAGGCCAGGTACGGTGGCTCATATCTATAATCCCAGCACTTTGGGAGGCCAAGGCAGGAGGATCCCTTGCGCCAAGGAGTTAGAGACCAGCCTGAACAACATAGTGAGATCCCCATCTCTACTAAAAATAAAAAAAGAAAATTAGCCAGGAATGGTGGCATGCATGTGTAGTCCCAGCTACTGTGAAGGCTGAGGAGGAAGGATCACTTGACCCCAGGAGTTCGAGCTTGCAGTGAGCAATGATCGCACCACTGTACTCCAGCCTGGGTGACAGAGCAAGACCCTGTCTCAAAAAAAGAGAAAAGTCTACAATAACTGTAATGACTCCCACCCTCCCATGGTTGTTTCCACAAACACCCCCCAAAGAAACAAATGTTCCTGTCATTTTTGAGGAAGACAGAGAACTATTGCAGGTGCCAGGTGACTGACTCAGGCCTTCTCCGGATGAGTGTTTGCATGCTGGCTGTGCACTGCTGGAACTGCCATGGGACAGGATGGCCCCATCGACTCTTCTCCCTCAACAGTATCATTTTCCTAAGGGAAAGAAGAGCTTACATGTATGTTTTTCCACAGCCAAAAACCAGTTATCATTCCAGTGAATATTCTCACCTTTTTTAACTTCTCAGAGTCACATTATTTGAAGTAGCTCCTCGTTTATGAAAATTCATTTCCTCAGACAGCAACCCTGCTGAATATTGGTGATAACCTACAAAGCAACAGAATAATTTGACGTATCTTCCCCAAAATGTCTAACGTTATAGACATCGTATGATTAATTGTATAGAGTACCTTTGCATGCTACCCCATGCTGTATTTGCAAATATACACGTCACTTTAAAAGGGAAATAACATACTGAAATGCACCTTCAAACAGTATTTATTTGAAGTCATAATTTAACACCGACTTAAGGTCCTTTTTTGGTTTCAGTTTTTTCTTGTGAACAGTGTTCTATTGATCAGATCCATCCCTGAGGAAGACAGACTATGATAATAAATAGACAGATAAACTAATCACATTTGCAATAAGACTAAGAGAAAAGCAAACAAATTAAATGCCAAAATAGAAAATAACAGTGAAAGCTGAATCAAATTCAGTGAATCCTCAGCAGTGAATCTGAGGAGGTGACTCATAAGCTGGTTCATGCAGGCTGAGAGGACTCAGCCCAGCCAAAAAAGCTCAGAGAAAAATCATTTCGGGCAGAGGGATCTCCAGACATGAAGAAGTATTGAGAAGTGTGTTCCAGGACCAGGCGGAGGTGGTGCAAGGCTGGTCTCACTAAAAAGTGGAGAGTGGCAGGAGAAAGAGGTGGGCAGAGGAGGCAGGAGAGGCTCAGATGGTACTTCCCGTTTTTCCTTCTACCTGAGTGCTTGACATAGGCCCATGTGTAGAGCCAGGGCCTCAGAGTAGACTGGAAGCCTCTTCTAGGCATGGGACAAAGTTTTGCCTTTTTGTTTTGGCAGTGTTGAAAGTAAGATATAAGATTTGTGTTGTGTGTCTTTTCATTCTTTTTAAAAAATTAATTTTAATCCTTAAATGATTTTAGTTGTACTTTTCCTCCCTTTTCAGCTTAACTTTCTGGTTTCTTAATTTTGTTTTTGACATCTCATTTTTCTCTATATAGAATTTAAAGCCAGAAATATTGCAGTTTTAAATTTCTAGTCATTTCTCTGGCATTTAGAAGGCTTTCTTTTGCCGCAGAATTCTCATATATTCAGTGGAGGTAATTGACTGCATTTGTAAAGTGATACAGACATGATCCTCAGATATGAGACACTATATGAAGATAACACTTAACACGATTCTTACAGTCTGCAGAGCCTCAGTCTTTTCTGTAAGTCTTGTGTTATAAAATATGTATTATATATTACTTTTAATTCCTCCTCTTCCAAGCAGTTTTAATTCTTTCTCTTTTCCTAATTTATTTTAGGAAAATTTCTCTCATCATCACTCATCTTACTTAATTGAATGATATAGTCAGTGTATAATTTGGGAATCTAAGTTTTCAATTGAAACAAGCTTTTCCCATGCCAAGTTTTTCTCTCCCCTTAGAAATGTAGAAGCATAAGCAGCCCTACCTATATTAAAAATACTATTTAAAAAAGAGCAAACATTTACTCACTGCGTACCGCGTTCCAAGCAGCCGTTCACTTGTATCTCATCTGATCCTCACAAGAGCGCTGTAAGATAGGTATAATTATCCCACTTCTACTCGTAAGAAAACTGAGATGAGAGAGGTTAAGTCATTTGTCTAAGGCCACACAGCTAAGCAGTAAGAAAGCAGGAATTTGAGCCCAGGATGGATGCCTTTAACCACTCCATCTTAATCCCTCTATCTTATACATGTTATAAAATGTCCTTCATACCGTGTTGAAGGCCAAGATCTGTACTCTTTGTAATTATTTTTGAATAGGCGTTAACTTTGATTTTGACCTAAGGGATTTCTGTTTTCTAATAAAAACTTATTGCAGGCTGGGCGCGGTGACTCACACCTGTAATCCCAGTACTTTGGGAGGCCAAGGTTGGCGGATCACCTGAAGTCAGGAGTTGGAGACCAGCCTGGCCAATGGAGTGAAGACCCGTCTCTACTAAAAATACAAAAATTAGCTGGGCTATAATTCCAGCTAGTCAGGAGACTGAGGCAGGAGAATCACTTGAACCCAGGAGGCAGAGGTTGCAGTGAGCCAAGATTGTGCCACTGCACTCCAACCTGGGTGACAGGGCACGACTCTGTCTCAAGAAAACACACACGTGAAAAAACTCTATTGCTAGCTAAAAACAGACTTAGTAAAGGAATTCAATGTGAAATACTTACTTTCAGCAAGTTGGTTAAATGTATTGTCGTATTTATCTATAAGTGTTTGGAAAGGCTTTTATTTGTGTTTTCCAAGGCTTGATTTCTCAGAGACATAGATTTTTATGTTTCTTGTTTTGTTTCTGATTTGGGATGGATACATTCTGAAAAGTTTAAAATGGTAAAGTTTACAAGCATCTATGGTTTAAGCTATGCTGCCAAGACATATCAAAAGAGTACTTAACTGTAAATTCCTGTCATTTGGTCAATCCAAGTGAGTTTGGCCTCCACACAAGCCACTAATTCAAATCAGTTCCATCAGAACCCTACAATTATATTTCTACAAGTAAAATAAAACTTGGATACTATGATTGTAAGTTAAAGATTGCTGAAGTAATGCAAACATTTGATATAGCTGTTGGGCAGAATTACAACATTTATCTAACATGATTCAAAATGTTACCCTGGGAGCATGATCTCTGTGTTTTGTAGCACACATACAGTTGGTTAAATTCCTTAGTAGTAGCAACTTCAGAGTTGTGTGTTTCTATAGAAAATGTTACTTTTCTGTGGAAGATGCTGACCATTTAACCTCCATGGTCTTTATTCACTTCGCCCTTTTAGCCTTTAAAGTAGAGGTGTCAAAATATAATCAGATAGTATGTAATAGAGTGAACATCTGGCCCTTCTCTTTGCCTAGTAATTTTCTCAGATTGTAGAGATAAATGGTAATCAGTGCTTAGAAAGTGGATTACTATTCATTTGAAGGTTGGGTGTTTTATAACAATTCTAATAGTTCATGTAATAACTTATCTAACCTAATGTACCTTTCTTTTTATTGGGATAATTGGAAACTTCAAGATGGTATACCTAGTGATAACACCCCATTTGGGAGTTTTGATTTGTGGTGATTTCTTCTCTCTTCACGGCGACTTTCTCTGATCTCTGCCTTCCCAGCATTCGCTTCACCGTGGTCAGTGACCCTCCAGAGGACGAGCAGGACCTGGAGTGTGAGGACATTGGCGTGGCTCACGTCCATCTCGCCGACATATTCCAGGAAGGGAGGGACCTCATTGAGCAAAATATCGATGGTATGGGTGAAAGTGCTGCTCAGTTTGTGCAACCAACAATTGCTATACTCCAAAGTCTTTATTAAAACCTTCTTTTTGCTGGCTGCAAGGGCACTGATTCACACATTACTTGAACCCTTTACAACTCAAGTTGACGCCTTGGTGAAGCCGAAACGTCTTCCTACATCCTCCTGCCCTACCCCCTGCCTTCCATTGAATCAACAGAAATCGTAAAATAATTAATTTAGCTTCACAAGGAATTATTCGTTTTTTAGTATTGAGTAAAAGTGTGAAAAAAGTTGGCCATTGGATTTTTTTTTTTTTTTCGCTGAGACAGAGTTTTGCTCTGTCACCCAAGTTGGAGGGCAATCTTAGCTCACTGCAGCCTTGACTTCCTAGGCTCAAGCAATTTTCCCACCTCAGCCTCCCAACCAGCTGGGACTACAGGCATACATCACCATACCTGGCTAATTTTTTTGATATTTTTTGTAGCAATAGGGTTTACCATGTTACCCAGGCTGGTCTCGAACTCCTGGGCCCAAGTGATCACCCATCTCAGCCTCCCAAAATCCCAGGACTACAAGCATGAGCCACCATGCCTGGCCAGGTGTTTTTCTAATGTTATTTATGGAAGCCACATTTCACCTAAGACTTAACCTTAAGCATGTTATTCTGTTGATGTTTATGGAAGCCTTATTTCCACTAAGGTTCGTAACCTTAAGCATGTTATTCTGTGTGATCCTGATAGTGTCTTTCTCAAGGCTTCTCTTTAATTCAGTGTTGCAGTCTAGTGATACAGTCACGGTAAGGAAGTGGTTTTGATTCCTCATTTCCCACCAGGATTTTGTGAGAGGTAATGACATTTGATCTGTTCCTGACAAAATGTGCTGTCCTGGATTTTCACCTCGCTAGTTGTGATTCCCAACAATTCTTAATTTCTGCTCCCTATTCTTCTATATTTGGAACATGCTAAATTGTTTTATTTATCAGACTTTTTAAAATCATAATCAGGGATGGCCTAGGCTTTGAGTATTGAATAGATAAATAAGGCTGATTCCTAGCCTCATTTGTTAAGTTAGCAGAGCCATCTCTGGAAAACTGTGCATGGCTTGTTTTTGTATTCACTTGTGCATTCAGCAAACACTAATGTGACCACCTCTTATGTGCCAGGCATTCTGCTTACACTGTAGTTCAGCCCTGGTTCCTTATCCAGCTGCTGGTCCTAGGTATATGTCAAGTGCTCAAAAGTCAAAATTAGACCAAATAACCAAATTAGAACCTTTTTCTAGGAAATATAAACTATACATTTCTAACCACATGACAGTTGGTCACAACTTAGCACAGAAGAAAAGATGAGAGGATTAAAATATCAACCTGAACCCTATTAAAGACTACCAGGACCAAGAAAATTTGACAAGTAATGACCAAATTATCTCGGCTTTATATTCTTGGTAATTTTTCCAGACAATTGTTTAGCAACCCATCTTCTTCTGTGAGACCACATATGACCCACTGATCTGACATGGTCAGTTACTATGGCTATGTTTTGGAAAAGAGCCAAAAGATTAGGCATAGGCGAGGCTGGGATTTTAATGCTTTGTTCTGCGTCAGGTATAGAAGTGAGAAGTCCCAAAGCAGAGATAACAACTCCAGGGAATGAGCTGGGGACCACTCGTGCCATTTTGATTTCCCTGATGCTCAGTTTCTGCACCTAAGTCTTTGTGTATCAAGTTTTAGGGCTTTCTAACAAATTTTCTTGGAATTAAAAAAAAATACATATATTAAAGTTAAGGAAAACCATGAGGAATTATAAACTGGAAACTAGGCCAGGTACAGTAGTTCACACCTCTAATCCCAGCACTTTGGGAGACCAAGGCAGGTGGACTGCTTGAACTCAGGAGTTTAAAACCAACCTGGGCAACATGACGAAACCTCATCTCTACAAAAAAATATAAAAGTTGGCCAGGCATGATGGCACCCAACTGTAGTCCCAGCTGCTCAGGAGGCCGAGGTGGGTGGTTGGCTTGACCCTTGGAGGGAGAGGTTACAGTGAGCCAAGATCACACCATTGCACTCCAGCTTAGGCAACCGAGCCAGACCCTGTCTCAAAAAAAGAAAAAAGAAACTATATAAAGACTCATAAGTGATAAGTACTATCAAACCTACAAAGTCCAGATTTCTGGCCTTGAGTCACTAGTAATTATAATTATCCGCAGAGGGATGGAGTCAGGTATTGAATCGGCATCCCATCTGGCCTCCGCCACTGAGCTCAGAGAATGCCCGTGGCTCCAGTCAAATCGCCTACCTTTGGGGCTGGGTGAAGTGGCTCAGGCATCTAATCCTAACACTCTGGGAAGCCACGGTGGGAGGATCACTTGATCTCAAGAGTCTACCTTTGGAATACCACTGAAAGTAGTGGCCCCTCTTCCAAGAAAAATCTCACATACACTCAAACCCATAGACCTTAAGATTCTTGGGCCTGCCATTTTAATCTTTTCTAATTTCACATAAAATCTATTTTAAATGGAACATTTTCCTCAGAAAAATAAATAATTCAAGCTATGATCATGTAACATCTGTACAGTGGTTTCCATTCTGAAACACCATAGATTGTCGTAAATTCCCTTTAGACTTATTCCTTACTAGCTTAAAAATTCAGATCGTGTGTGAAGGTCATTATTCTAGAGGCTTTCACTAGGTAAACTTCAGGATTAGCTCATTAGTTTTAGCTCCACGAGCAGTATGTACAGGTCCATGCAGTACGTCTCAAATGTGCACCTCCACGCACACATAAGAAGGTTTATTCTTTGGATACCCAAGATACCAGTGAACTTTGGCCTTTTGTAGAACTATTTTCATCTTTTCAACTACTGTTTCTCTGTGCAAGCCTTTCCGAAGAAAAATCTGTTGAACAATATTAACACTTTCCTGCTCTTTTCTCCCTAGTTTTTGATGCACGAGCAGATGGTGAAGGTATTGGCAAGCTCAGGGTAACAGTTGAAGCTCTCCATGCCCTCCGGTCTGTCTATGAGCAATACAGAGATGACTTGGAGACTTGAAAGCAACTGCTCCAGAGGCGTCTCCTAATCCTGAGTAAATGCTCACATGAAAGCTCCTACATGAGATTTTTGTAATTACTCTGGTGTATATAATCTATAATTCATGGGAAGCTGGGAGCGGGGAGACCTGGGTTTGAAGTGTTTTGAATTTTGTATACTTTTTCATTTGTTTATTTCTATACCCTCTTTCCCATGACTGCCACCCCTCAGGACTTAAGTTCTCCATAATGGGCAGTACCTTCTCAATAATTTATACCTACATGATAGCATGAGAAAGTCTATTTGCATTTTCAACATTTTCTTAGGAAGAACTGAAATGCAATTCCCATTCTTATTTTTAATAAGCAAAAGCATAAATCTTAGACAACCTATGAAAAAAAATACTTTTATGTTACCCCTAATCGTCCCACTAAACGGAATGCTTATGATTAGCCTCATTAAGAGTTTTATACTGTGAAGATTTTATTAGAAGCAATATATGAAAATTACTTGGATTAATGTGTTAATCTTCCTCTTTAAAATGCTAATATCCATTTTATGCACATTAAAGCTCAGTATGCATTTTCTTTGATGCATGCAGTTTCTATCAATTAAATATAAAGAATGAGACTTAGCACCAACTTATTCAATGACTGCGAATTTTTTGTTTTTCTTTCTTAAAAGTTCATTCTGTTTGTATTATTTGCATGTATTTGTAATGGTGGTATGGGATCCAGGGATGTGTATCTATAAAAAGGAAATAGGTATATGGATAGATGTGAAATTTACATGTTGAAAACTTAGCATATGACATAGAAACAAATTATCAAAAGTATAGCTCAAATTCTGATGTGCTTAGTAAGATCTGAAAGGAGTATCTTTTTATCATTTTTTTAAATTTACATCAAGCCAGTACATTGCTGGGGTGTATCTGGGTAACCAGATCCTCAAAAAGAGCTCGGAAAGTTAATTTTCTAGCTTTTACCCAATCTCACTGAAGGATTTAATTGATATTTTTAATGGAGCTGTGAATCAATGCTGCAAGGGAATTGTCTCTAGAGGTCTGGGATATAATGCATTTCATTTTTTAATTTACTTTTTTATTTGTCATTTTCTTCAAAGGATTTTTATAGGCCGTGGGTTTTCACTGTTTGCAAACAGGCTATGTTCCTTCTTAAGCATATGTAAAGTATTCAGGGAGATAAGTAATTTATTAAAATCTACCTAATTTGCCGTGATATATTAAATCTCTGCTTCAGTGATCACAGACCATTTCATTTAGAGAATTAGGCATTCCCTCTTTGTGTGATTAAAGCTCTGGAAAATGAGTTCTTTGCTCCTATTTGTGAACATTCAAAGCCTGCTAATGGCAAGAAGATGGAATAGATTATGAGACAATTCATTACAGTTCCATAGAAAAAAAAAAAGCAGCTATAATGCAAAAATGCAAGTATGAATATCTGCATATAGTTTGAACCATCTGTGCTCTAATGGCTTCAATAATGACTCTCGTCTTTAGGAGGCTTTGAAATGACATCCGTACAATATTAATTTGTTGATGTACATTGTGGGACCAGTAGAGTATGATCTGACCACAGAAATCTATAAATTCTGTCTATACCACTGGGCCTCCCTGTCCTGGGGCTTGCCATCTCCAAGAAGAATCTTGCTCTCATCAAACTCTGCAAATCTTCATAACAACTCATTCCTCTGGAACCTTCTAGAGACCACAAACATCTGCAGACTAAACCTCTCCAATCCTAGTAAACAACCACATGTTTGTTGTCACTTCAGCTGGCTTTGAGCTCATTTTTTTGGCCCCTCTTTCTAGCTTTCTTTGGCTTTATGCAGTTACAGTGTCATTAAGGCCCATAATATTCCCTGCAGTAATTTAAAACAGCCAGATTATACCCTGGGATTAACTGAGTGGTTTTTGAGACATTTATTGTGGTATTCTCCCAGAAGGTTTGTATTATTGTTGTAAAATGTTACATCCCAAACTAAATAACCCTTCTGCAGGGAGAAGAACCAGATTTCACCGACTTCTTAGGATCTTTAAGTGGAAAGGAAAAGCTTTTCTTAGAAAACTTCTGGGATCCAGTCACCTGTATGGAACGCAAAGCTCAGACAAGGTTAGAGAAACAGCCATGTTTCTGTCACATTGTTTACTGTAATATTAAAGATTTCTAGTTTTAAAATATTCAGTTTCAAACTATTGCAAATTTTCACAACACTCATTTTCATAGCTAATTGCTGTTGACACATTGTGAAATGACGAGGTAGTATTGAATGCTGTCATGTGGATACTTCAGTTGGGTTTCATAATCTGTTCAAAGGTTTTGTTTGTTTCATCTTGTGGTAACTAGAGTTCATTGAAAAGCTTACCACCTTTTGGGTTAAAGAGCAGTGGTTTTCTCTTGGTGAGCCAAACTGGATCCATTGAGAAGGGCATGGCGTAAGGGGCCACCAGCAGTGGCCTTGCCACACAGATAGCAGCGTAAGGTGTTCTGTTGTGAACCTACAACTCTTAGTGTAACTGGACCAGTGCACTCAGCACTTTTTTGGGCTGTAATGCTTTTAGTTTGGAAATATAAATAGAGATGTGATGTGGTATGTGGGAGAGTGTATTTTACATGTTTTTTTGCCTACTGTAGTAGAAATGTCAAATTCCCAGCCACTGTCATGAGAAGCGGTTGACAAAAATAAGTTTTATGGTTTCCAGTGTGGTTTATGTGAAGAACATTTCTCTTCACTCTCAGTTTCAACATGTTTTCTAAATTATCATGGTTTACTGCGATTTAGCTTAAATTAGTTTTTTTTAAGAATAAATAGAGAATATGTTTAATCAAATAAAGAAAGGCCACATTGAAATTCTGCTGTTCCTGCCATTCATTCGTTACCACAAAACACAAATAATTTCTATGTGCTATGAAGAAGTGTGGGCTGAGAAGTGGTCATGTGATTTGAGAGGTTTTGCGTGCACTCATGTTCCCACAACAAAACATAAATTATTTTAGTAATCTGACATCAAGAGCTGTGAAAATGAAAACCAGTTCTTACACATGTTCTAACAAGAATCTGATTAACATTTTTGTGGATATGGAAAATATTTTTTTTAGCCAAACTGGCACTATTGCCGAATGTAGAATGATTTCCTTACGCACTAGATAGAAAAATGTGAATCATGTCTGTGAACAAATATGAGAATAAAATGTCATCTTTGTGTGGGACAAAACAACCAGGGGAGAGCTTTGGGGATAAAAAATTATCGAGTGATTGACAATATCAGGATGATAATTTATCCCCAACTATGAGAGTACATTTTAATAAGTCACTCATGCCTGAAGGCCTCTGACTACCTTAACAAAGAAAAACTAAACCCGTGATTGATTAGAGATTGGGCAACATGCCTAATTAAATCCATGAATGGGAGCAAACACAGATTTACATCCCCTTTGTTCAGAACAAAAACAACCTCCAGGTCAACCAGAAAGCTAGAAAATATCAAAGCAAGAGAAACAAGTGGTTGAAAAACTAAAAATATAGAATTAGAAAACATCTCCTCATCCTAATCTCTTTTATCTTACAAGATAGAATTTTCACTTCCATTTCAAAGTGCCACCAGTGGACTGCACATTCCATTCTGACCATCTGGAAAATTGGGCCCATATTACTGATATTGTGAATACCTTTTGTTCTTACTCTTTTATTTTTCATATGACATTCACTAATATATCAAGCTATGTTTTTCCTGCAGGCTTTTGGAAGTGCAATCTGGTACTTAGACTTCGATCATGACCTCTTTTCTGAGTAGATGCCATTTGACTTTTCTGCTTTTTGCCTCTTCCCACTCTGTTGAGATTCACCTTTTTCATCCCTAGAACAGCATTACCTCTCTCTTCACTGTGCACCATTTGTTTTCTTTTTAAATAAAATTTAACATCTTGATTTTACTATCTAATTTGTTCAAATCTATATTCAGCTGAACATCTCATCCCATCTGTCTTTTCTCCTACTTATTTTTAGCTAGTCACAGCACATTTTTTTCCTTCCTCTTTGCTGGTTTTTTCCTTTCTCTTTACTGTTTCTTTTCTTGGTGAGACAGCCATTTCTTGAGATACCAGCATCTGTGACAGCTCCAGTGGCCTTCCCAAAACGTTCCTGTGTGTTAAGATTTGTCTTAATTTAACATGACAGCGGCACTCTTAGCCATTATGAAACTGAGGAAACAGCAAGCTAATTTTTGTATCTTTGCTTCTTGTACCTTTTTATAGTGAAGTAACAGAGGCTGGAACTCAGAAAGCTCTCAGAAATCACTGGTAAGGAGCTGAAGCATAAGGAAGTTTTTTAAAAATTTAAGGAAATATGTCATTAAAATCCAGCTTGATTTGGTGCAAATGGTGTTTTGTCATAGTTACACATGTCATCATTCATGACAATGAAAATAAGAGAAATTTTTTACTTATTTTTAAATTTTGTTCATCAGGTTGGTAGGGAAAAAAGAGAAATTTTAAAAGAAAATGTAAAGACTGTACATATAACCTAGAGATTGGGAAGACTTTTCTAATAAAGGGAGGAAATACAGCTATAAAGCAAAGACGTATTGGCTATGTAAACATTAAGACAGGGTAACCATTTTCATATCAGACAAAGTAGACCTCAAGGTCAAAAAAAGGGACAAAGAAGGATATTTTATGCTGTTAGAGGGAAGAACAAGTTAAAGGTATATGAATGTAAACTTATATACACTAAACAGTATAGCCTTAAAATACATGAAGCAACAACTGACAACTATGGAAAAATACTGTGGCTACATCCACTTTAGTAATAGCTTTTAACTGTCAGTGGCAGGTCAAAAAATGTAGGAAAAAGTCTAGATTTGCTTAACATGATTGCTAAAATGAATATGCAATGCACATGGAACACTGAAAGAAAAAATCAACTGTGTATTCAGCCACAAAGGAAGTCTCAATTTCCAAAGAATTGAAATATTTCTCTTTCTCTTTATATATATATAGATAGATAGATCTCTCTCTCTCTTATATGTATAGATAGATATCTATATATCTATATAGATATCTATATATCATATATATCTATACATAAGAGAGAAAGATTTCAATTATTTGCAAATATATATATAGAGAAAGAAATATATATATATATATATTTAAGCAAAATGCAACAAAATTAGAAATTAATAGCAAAAGTGTAGCTAAAACAATCCTACCTAAAAGTTAAAAATGATTGTGTTTTATATTTTTAATTGACAAAAATTATATACATTTATGGATGTATTATTACTATTCTGGGTCCTAATAGGATGAGAAACTTACCCTCTCCTGCAACATAATGAGGAGACAAAATTCTACAACAGTTACGTATAAGTGGGAGAAATGTACATCAGCTCAGAATCCCTCACCAGATGGGGAGCAAGGTAAGGACTGAGCTTAAGAGGAGAGTGTGTAGGAATTCTAGTGATGGCAGAACACAAATAATGTCAACTAAGGTTCCCACAGAAGAATAAGGGCCACTCTGAGTGGGGAAATACTGAGAACCGATCTGAGGGCTGGTGGACCAAAGCATTAGCTACTGGGAAAGTAAAAGGAAGGGGTTTGAAGATAGATTAGGACCAGAGGTGGCAACTTTGGAAAGGCACTTCTGGAAGAGAAGCGTGGTATTTTAGAAGGTGAAGGTATCTCTTGGAGATATAGTAGTGAAATGAAAGAAGGAACCACCCAGTGGGACCCGATGCAACAAGGTAATATTATTAAGTGATATCAATATCAGTAAAAGGCCATTTATTAAGAAAATTGCCCTAGCCAGAGCAATCAGACAAGAGAGAATAAAGGGCAACCAGATTGGTCAAGAGGAAGTCAAACTGTTACTATTTGTTAATGATATGATCGTATGCTTAGAAAACCCTAAAAACCCCTCCAAAAAGCTTCTAGAATTGATACATGAATTTAGCAAAGTTTTAGAATACAAAATTAACGTACACAAATCAGTAACTCTGCTACACACCAACAGCGGCCAAGCTGAGAATCAAATCAAGAACTCAGTTCCTTTTACAATAGCTGCAAAAAATATAAAATACTTAGGAGTACATGTAACCAAAGAAGTGAAAGACCTCTTCAAGGAAAACTACAAAACACTGCTGAAACAAATTGTAGGCAACACAAAGTAACAGAACACATCCCATGCTCAAGGTTGGATAGAATCAATATTGTCAAAATGACCATACTGATAAAAGCAGTCTAAAAATTCAATGCAATTCCCATCAAAATATCACCATCATTCTTCACAGAACTAGAAAAAAAAATCCTAAAATTTATTTGGAATCAAAAAAGAGCCCACGTAGCCAAAGGAAGACTAAGCAAAAAGAACAAATATGGAGGCATCACATTACCTGATTTCAAACTGTGCTATAAGGCCATAGTCACCAAAATAGCGTGGTACTTGTATAAAAATAGGCACACCGACCAGTGGAACAGGATAGAGAACCAGACATGAAGCCAAATACTTACAGCCAACTGACCTTCAACAAAGCAAACAAAAACATAAAGTTGGGAAAGGACACCCTATTCAACAAATGGTACTGGGATAATTGGCAAACCACATGTAGAAGAATTAAACTGGATCCTCATCTTTCACTTCATACAAAAAATCAACTCAAGATGGATCAAAGACTTTAAGACCTGAAACCATGAAGATTCTATAAAATGGTAACATTGGAAAAACCCTTCTAGACCTTGGCTTAGACAAAGCCTTCATGACCAAGAACCCAAAAGCAAATGCAACAAAAACAAAGATAAATAGGTGAGACTTAATTAAACTGTAGAGTTGTTTTTTTTTTTCTGTATAGTTCCCTTTATATGAAGCTTAAGTTCAGGCAAAATTAATCTACAATAATAGAAATCAGAACACTGTTTACCACTGAAGAGTGTTTACACAGATATGTGTGTGTACAAATGTAAAAATAACCAAGCAGTAAACCTGATTTGTGTACTTTATGGTATATAAATTATATATATATATATAAAATTGTACTTTAGATTCTGGGGTACATGTGCAGAACATGCAGGATTGTTGCATAGGTACCTACATGGCAATGTGGTTTGCTGCCTCTATGCCCCCGTAACCTATATCTGGAATTTCTCCCCATGTTATCCCTCCCCAACTCCCCACCACCTGCTGTCCCTCTTCTGTTCGCCCCCAACAGACCCCAGTGTGTGATGCCGCCCTCCCTGTGTCCATGTGTTCTCGTTGTTCAACACCTGCCTATGAGTGAGAACATGCGATGTTTGATTTTCTGTTCTTCTGTCAGTTTGCTGAGAATGATGGTTTCCAGATTCATCCATGTCTCTACAAAGGACAGAAACTCATCATTTTTGATGGCTGCATAGTATTCCATGGTGCATGTGTGCCACATTTTCCTTGTCCAGTCTATCATCAATGGGCATTTGGATTCGTTCCAGTTCTTTGCTGTTGTCAAGAGTGCCGCAGTGAACATTCGTGTGCATGTGTCTTTATAATAGAACGATTTATAATCCTTTTGATATATACCCAGTAATGGGATGGCTGGGTCAAATGGAATTTCTATTTCTAGGTCATTGAGGAATCGCCACACTGTTTTCCACAATGATTGAACTAATTTACACTCCCAAACAACAGTGTAAAAGTGTACCTATTTCTCCACATCCTCTCCAGCATCTGTTGTCCCCAGATTTTTTGATGATCACCATACTAACTGGGGTGAGATGGTATCTCAATGTAGTTTTGATTTGCATTTCTCTAATGTCCAGTGATGATGAAGCATGTTTTCGTATGTTTGTTGGCATCATTTATGTCTTCTTTTGAAAAGTGTCTTT